CACTGAGCCATAGCCCCAGCCCTTATTTATTTATTTGTTTGTTTATTTATTTATTACTTTTTTGTAGTCCTAGAGATGGAATCCAGGGTTTTTTTTATCCATGCTAAGTATGTATTCTACCACTGAGCCCCTAGTCCCTCCTGCATTTTCCTTATGGCTATTCTTGTTTCTGACTCATACTTCTTTCCTTGTTCTTTTTGCAGGGGGCAATGAAAACATATTTTACATCATTATTTATACTTTGCATAAGTATGAATTCTTACCATGTTGTGTGTCTCTTAATGCATATTAGTCTAGCCTTTTAACATAAGTCAGATTATATATATATATATATATATATGTGTGTGTGTGTGTGTGTGTGTGTGTGTGTGTGTGTATGTGTGTGTGTGTGTTCTTATTAAGCATCAGTAAATTCATACCATAAATAGTGATGAATTAGTAATGCTTTTCAATTTACCAATTTTCTGTAATGGTTTGTCTCCTGGCTAGAAAGGGTTATTTTGCTAAAGTTTGTTTCTAGACCAGTGGAGCAAGAGATTGTTATAGGACATATTGTAGCTGAGTACTTGGCAGTTCTTTCGACAAAGTCTCACATTATGTCTTTGTATGATGGAGGAATGTGTGCAGCAGAGACTAGGTGATATTATTGGGAAGAGTTCAACAAACATAGAGGACAGAATCACAGGTTATTTTAAACTGGTAGGCTTTCTCAGTATGTCTTAATGTTTGCCCTTGGTCTAGTCAAGACTTTTAACGGTAATCTTCATTTCTTCCTACTTCCCTCCCTCTCTCCACCTCCCTCCCTCCTTCACTCCCTTGCACCTTCTGTCTCTCTCTCTCTCTACACACAGACAGACAGACAGACAGACAGACAGACAGACAGACAGATATGGCCTGTCTACATAGCCCTGGTTGTCCTGAAAATCACTATGTAGACTAGGCTAGCCTTGAACTCACAGAGATCCAACTACCTCTGACTCCCAAATGCTGGGATTAAAGGCATGAACCACCATGCTTGGCTTTACCAGTAACTTTTCAATGTGAAGAGAGAGCACATATTTTTAAATATGAAAATCCCTAACGTGGGGGTAGCTAATTTATTTTTGTCAGGATTCTTAAACCAATGAAATGTTTACAATGGACTCAAACCAACAGGAAAATTCTTGACAGATGTGAAAGGAAAGATATGCCAATAAGAGAAGTATAGAGCTAAAGAACTGTGGATATCAGAAGAGAACAGCATTCTCGACAATGTATTGTGTTACTCACAGAACTTGTGAGCTATAAGTGAATAAAGTTCTTGGGGTCACTGAATTATAACTGGGGAAAATTTGAAGTCAAACAAAGTTAACTGATGACCTTCATTTTTAACATGTGAAAGTATTAAGTATTTTAAAGTGTTAAGTGTTTTTAAGAGGTGGGTGTATGGTAAAATTACATTTATTAATCCTTAATTATTTTAACCTAGTAGAAATTATTTGGGACATTGCTTTTTGAAGGATACTGACAAACTAAGACATGCCACATGAAGAAATAAAAGGAACATAGATGATCAGGAAGGGCCAAATGCAGAAATTCTGATAAACATTGAGAAGACTGTGTAAAGTTAGCATGTAAAAAAACCCTGGGTTAAATCTAAGCTTCCAGTCAACTGAATAATACCAGGAATGGTAACCTCAGCAATCATGTTTCTTGCTATATGCCAAATACTAACATAGTTAGCTTTCATTTTGGTAACTCATGTAATCTTAAAACAGCCCTGTGAAGCAGGTAATGTTAAATTTTTCATTTCATAACAGAGGAAAATGAAGGAATAAAGCTAACGATTTTTTTTCCCAAGACTGCATGGACAGTGAGTAGCAAAGCTGAGGCCTAAATTTGAGGGCTGTGAATATAGAGTTATCTTGTACTTTGCATGCTTGCTGTGATTTCAGTTCAGCATGATGCAACATTTTTGATCTTGGTCCAAGATCACTCTTTCAGAATGTTTGCTTTCTCACCTGGGTGGTACTTAGACAGTGACTGTACGAACACACTGGCACTGGTTTAGGAGAGCTTAGACTCTGAAGAACAGCACCGTAGTGCCAGTGCAAAAGAATGATTGACTTACATGATCTTTTTTGTTTTCACATTCAGTGATTTCTTTAAAAAATAATTCTATAGTTTGTCTGTGATGACTCTTACATAGAGAAAAGGGATTGGCAGGTATTTTTGATCAATGGTTTGAAATGTTAACCATTTTGGAGCAAAGATATTCAAGGTTAAACAGTTCGTTATCTGGGTGTTAAATTTGCCATTAGGAGTAAGGACTAGAGTACTGCTGGAGTGCTCATTGTTACAAGGTAAACCAAATCTCAGTCCAAATCTAACTGCCTTTCTGTGATGTGGCTAGACCTTTTATTATCAAGGTATGTGCCTAAAAGGGCAGAATGGAAGGATACTCACTTATTAGTTGTATTCTATAAAGATCCCATGTCATATATTCAGTTTAAATGCTCTTAAACTAAGACCCTCCCTTATTTGGCAAACCAAATGAAAAGTCATCTGTGGAGAAGGTGCTTTTATTCAGTGGTTCAAATAATGCCCAGAAAGTATCATGGAATTTTACATAGGAAAAAAAAAAACTTTTAGGTAGCTCAGCACATAAGAAATCAAAGTAGGTGAAAATTAGGCATATTATTATTTTTTAATGTATAACAAAACATTATAAGATAAAAAACAAATCTGTCACATTGAAGTTGAACAGGTTGGAAAAGAGCCAAAGAGAAGGCACAACAATCAGAGATCCAATCATTCACACACACACACACACACACACACACACACACTCAGGAGACCCATGAAAACACTATCTGGAAGTCATATGCAGAGGACCTGGTGCACACCAGTGCTGGTCCTGAGCATGATATTTGTGCTATTAGAATAGTAAATGCCAACAGTGAAAATATCTTCTGGGAATTGCGTATAAGCTTTGTAACTGATTGACCTTAAAACTGACCAAATAGAATATCTAGATAAGAACTAGAATATGCAGTGTTAAGTTTCTAGTTCAGTAGTAGTAACCTAACATTTTAAAGATATTTGCAGTACTGCAAAGAAAATTCTCAATAGTTACAATTTAAAAAATTTACATTTTAAAACTTTTGGAGCTGGCTTGGTGGTGTTGATGCATAACTTTAATCCCAGCACTTGGGAGGCAGAGTCAGAGGCAGGCAGATCTCTTCCAGTTTGAGAACAGCCTGGTCTATAGGGTGAGTTCCAGGACCGCCAGAGCTACACAGAGAGAAACCCTGTCTAAAAAAAAAAAAAAAGAAAAGAAAAGAAAAAAAAAAAAGAAAAGAAAAGAAAGAAAGAAAAAGAAAGAAAAGAAACAAGAAAGAGAAGAAATAAAGAGAAAAAAAAAGGAAGAAAGGAAGGAAAAAAATAAACTTTAGGGGCTGATGGTGACTCAGCAGTTCAGAACACTTCTTGCCCAGTGACTGGGTTCATTTCCTAGCACCCACATGGTGGCTAACATCTGTTTGTAAATATATACACACCTATATCTCCAGACATGCAGACATACACAAGAGATAGATAAGTATATTTTTAAAAGATGAAAACTTTATAGCAAACTTGATGCAGCCAAAGAAATAAATGGGTATTTACCCAGATAATAGGGTGGAAAGAAATGATTAGACGTGGATAATTAGGAATAAAGGATTATGGCAGAGGAGATGCAAGAGAAGACCCAATGAGTACAACGGAGAATGTGGAAATCTAACACTTAGGTAAAATAATGTAACTGTAAAGGAAATAGAAAAGGAAGGCAGAAAAAATTAGCTGTTGAAATAATGACTGAGATTTTCGAGCAGAATGAAGCTGCTAAGCCACACCTTCAGGAACCCACTGAACCCTAAGCAATATAAATAATGTCATGGAAACAATGCAAGACTGGAGAAGGACAATGAATTTGATAGGAATGGAAATCTTAAGTAGTAGGAACACAAAAACTGAGACAAAAGTGGAATAACATTTCATTATGCTAAAACAAAATGAGGACAAACATTCCCCAAAGCCTTTCTTATAAAATTTTATATCCACTAAATACTGCTATCAGTAATAAGAGTATCGCCTAAAAAGGAGATATTTTGAGACAGTGCCTGGGATATACTTCAGACAGACTTATTTCAGTTGGATGACTGATATTAAGGAAGCAATAAAGAGAGAAAAGCCTGTGTGTGTGTGTGTGTGTGTATGTGTGTGTGTGTGTGTGTGTGTGTGTGTGTGTGTGTGTGTAATGATATAGAAAATTATAATCATGTAAGGTTAAAGCACACTGTATGATTAAAATGTATGACTGCAGTAACATCAATCAACCAATGTTTTGAATGCTCTGAAATAATTGTACTGTGTGAAATGAATCATATATATGAAATTGAGACTTTGAGAGAGGGACATAGAGAAACAATGGGGCACCATGACAGAGTCCAGAGGCCAGGATGGCCGTGGACAGGAATAAGCTTTGCCATCAGTTAGTGATACAGACTTGGAAAAGCTACTTCTCTGCTGTCATGATCTGTATCTGTTTCTTTAGAACTAGATGAAAATTTAAAGTCCATCACTGGAAGTCATTGAAAAGGAATTCCCGCAGAAGGAAAAAAATAATAGTTTTTGAGGTGTTTACCCCTTTCTTATAAATTTTAATCAATAAACGCTTTTCACTTCCAGCTAACTTTTACAAATCTGTTCTAAAAATTAGAGGTAAATCTGGTCTCATTCAGCTGTGTATTTTTTGTATTACCTTTAAACCAATTTCTTGGTTTTGTTAGACAAAGTAGTTGGCACTGGTAGATATTAAGGGGACAGTAGTGGGGGGGGGGCTATGAGCAAAGAACCTTGCTGAGAAACTGTGATTCTTTCTTTTTGATTTATTACCTAAACAAATTAATACCTTCTTATTATCTCACCATCTCTTGTTGAATTGTTGCCCTACTTCCCTCTCCCTTCTCTTTTCCCAGGCCAATAATAAACCTGAGATTGAAGCAGCTCTCTTCCTTGACTGGATGCGCCTGGAACCCCAGTCTATGGTGTGGCTGCCTGTTTTGCACAGAGTGGCTGCTGCAGAAACTGCCAAGCACCAGGCTAAGTGTAACATCTGCAAGGAGTGTCCAATCATTGGATTCAGGTATTAGGTTACAACAAAATAACCTCATTGTCCCTCACGTTTTCATGACTCGGTCTTTTGTCTCCTGTACCAGTTGCAGTTAGTTTGCTCCTTTCCAAAGCGGGCGAGAAAGCAATGGTGCTAAAACATCGATCACTGCTGTCATTCCGCTGATCACAGGGTTATTTTGGTTAACCTGACTCATTAGGCAGATGTCTCTTTCCACCTTCACTCTTCAGATCTTCACAAGCACATTTTTTGGTTGGACAAGGCTGAGTACCTGTCTCCACAGAGGTATTTGTTTGTCAAGGGCATCCAGATGAACTGTACCTCCTCCTTCCTGAAACTGAAACATTTTTGCTCTTGTTTTCTTTTTTTTCATGGCCTTTTCTGTTTATATAAATTCTCCAAGAATCAGTTCTAAAACAGTAAGTTGATTCTATTCTGGGAAGATGCATCCTGGTAGCTTAGTTTCTTTCTCACTTGGCAGCACTTCTTTTTACCCACTAAGTAACAAGAATTGTTGCAGGCATCTTCAAAATTTCTTCTTTTTTCTTTAAATCTGATTCTCTTCTTTCCATAGTATCTCATTGAAATTCTAAGGAAATAAAATGTATGCAAGCAAATGATATTCACAAAGCAGTTAAAAACAGAAAACATTCCTTATAAATGTAAAGGTGAGAGAGTTAGGAAACAGTACCCTATTATTTTGGTATTCTTAAAATGGCATGGAAAACAATTGACTCATTTGGAGAAGTAGGATATTTTTAAATAAACGAACCTAATAATAATCCCAAGTTCTAATTCTGAAATGATGATTCATTTAAACATCTGGATCAATATGAGCAAAAATAAACAACAGGATTATACACTAGCTTATGCCCCTTCCGAAATCATCTAGCAGCCAAAGTAAATACTCATTTCTAGTTGTGCTTAAATGTGCTTTAGGACTTTATTTCTTATTTTTTTTAATTTTAGTTATTTTTTTTTCCATTGATATTTTTCCTTGTGTAGTTCCTGCAGCTTTAAGAAAAGCTTTAGAGGTTTCTAAAGCCTAGTAAAAAAGTTTCTTACAAAATATACATTTTTTTCCTTACTGGTTTTGGGCAGATGAGAATGATATTATAGGGGCTGACAGGCTTGGGGGAGAGCGGCAGGTGACTGCATTCCATTCCTTATCTTCCTGAGCCAGCTTCCTGAGCCAGTGGAATTTGTATACAACAGAGGAAAATTTTAGAAAATAAAAAAGTCCCATGCTTTGGAGGACCTAAGAGAGGGCTTTTTTTTTTTTTTTTTTTTTTTTTTCTTTTTAACCTTCAATTCTTTTGTCACTATCAAATTAGATTATTTTAAGAATCAGCACTTCTCTCTTTTCCTTATCTTCTCTGAAATGATGGTTGAGATCTAAAAAAGAAAAAAAATGTTAGCTTTTCTTCCCACATTCCCATATGTGACATCAAGAATATGTTTATCTGAATTGGCTGAGACTCTTATCTGAGAAGGCAAAAATCAGGACTAAAACAAGCATATATTATTTCAAGGCCGAAGTGCCAACCAGTACTTAGAAATTAGTAAATCTTTCATTTAGTCCATTGTGCCATTGGCTTTTTTTGGTGTCATTTTTGGGTAATATGGTGAGGAATTTCTAGAGAGAAGAAACTGCCCAATTGACATGAAGATGAATAATTCCAGTCAGTTACAGAGTATATAATTTAAGGATGGGTTATTTTGATTGGAGTTCCTATTTCGATTTTTTATGAGTAACTTTATTTTTGTAATTTTGTGATAACAATTATTTCAGAAAACTCTTGTCCCTGTGATGAATAGGTAGCATCAGTGTGTCAATCGCTCACTTCAAGTAAGAGTTGAGTTTTTAATTCTTCTTTCCATATGTTTAGTGGATAATCTTTCTGCCAAAATGTTTTGTTATTGTAGGAAAGGCACCAGAGAAGTCTGGTGGTAAATTTAATTGCATACTATGCAGGACCAATGAATGCTACTTTTGGCTTTTACAGCTGACAGTGTGGTAGAGGGTTTCCTAGAGTGTTCTTTGGGAATATGATCTGAAGATGTACATTAGTGTTTGTTTCTGCTCTTTATCAGGTACAGAAGTCTAAAGCACTTTAATTATGACATCTGCCAAAGCTGCTTTTTTTCTGGTCGAGTTGCAAAGGGCCATAAAATGCACTACCCCATGGTAGAATATTGTACTCCGGTAAGTTAATGTCCTCTTGAGAAGAGTACTTACCTTCACTGAGATGAATTCTAGATTTGTATATAGCAAGTCACGTTTCATTCTGGGTTTTGCTTTTTGTTTTAGTTGTTGTTGTTTTGTTTTGTTTGTAAGTTCCACCACCTTATGCGTGTAGCAGGCAGGTCCTAATACACATGAGAGGTGATTGATACTCAATAAATATCTTTGAATGAATGCCTACATGTTTCTCCTTCTAGCATCACTGTAGGGAGGACATGTCACATTTCTTTTGTACAACCTTAGCAATTACATAGGGAAGACTCATGGCCATGGGACATGTTGAATATGGGGAAATAGTGTGTGTATTCCTCAAAATGAATACCACACCACATTCTATCCTTGTTGTTCACCTTTAGTTTTGTGACATATTGACAAATGACACCTGAAAATGTGTTTTATATATATGATAATACTTAATAACTCATTTACATGGCAAACACCTCTTAAATGGCATTATGTTCAGCAAGTATTGCTATTTTAATTTTATTATTATTATTATTTGGGGGTATTGGGTTTTCTGTTGTTGTTGGTGGTGGTGGTCTTTTTGTTTTGTTTTGTTTTGTTTTTTGTTTTTCGAGTCAGGGTCTCTTTGTGTGTAGCCCTGGCTGTCCTGGAATTCACTACATACACCAGGCTGGCCTTAAACTGACAGATCCACCTGTCTCTGCCTCCAAGTACTGGGATTAAACATATGCACCACCACTGCCCTGCAGGTATTGTTATTTTTATCCTCCTTTGACCAATGAGGACTCTGTCTTCCTGAGGCTAAAATGACTACCCAAGGTTCTATAAGTAGGAAGTGGAGAAACTTCTAACATGTATGAGGAAAATATTCAATAACTATTATGCTTGGAGAAAAACCCTAGTGAAATGGCAAGGCCATAGTCTCACTGCTCATACTGAGGCACAGAAAGTGTATGTGATCGTACCTGAGAGCTTATCAGAGATATTACTGCTCAGGCCCCAGCCTGGGTTTTATAAATCAAAATCTGTATTTTAGCAAGATTTACAGGAACTCTGCTCTTCTTTAGGGCATGGATTTCATCTGTCACCAGGTGATCTTCCTATCTTTAACTGTTTTCCTCACTGTTATTCCTCTATTTTTGATGTTGTTGTTTGTTTTTGTTTTTTGAGACAGGGTCCCACTGTGGCTTTGAAGGCTGTCCTGGAATGAGCTCTTGTAGACTAGGATGGTCTCAAACTCACAGAGATCCATCTGCCTCTGCCTCCCAAGTGCTAGGATTAAAGGCATGTGCCACCACCACCTGGCACTATTACTCCTCTTACAAAGATAATCAGTGTTGAGAGTGCACCATGCTATGAATTGTCTGATTTCAATTGTGGACTCTGATATTAATGTCAACTAGTTTAAAACCATTGAAAAGTATAGGAAAACTTGAAGTTAGCCTTAAGTCTTCTATAAACTCATTCATCAATTACCTAGGCAGCCTGAATACTTTATTGTCCTTCTTAATATTAACTTATTTGTATTTGTTTATATGTGTTTGTAATGTGTGTGAAGTCCAGAGGTTAAAGATGTTGTCTTTCTCTCCCCTATTTTATAAGACACAAGTCACAGATTGATGGCATTGGCTGGTACATGAGCTCTGGAGATCTACCTTTTTCTGCCTTCTTCAGTGCTAGGGTTACAGATGAGTACCACCATGCCTGGCTTTTATGTGGCTGCTGGGATTCAAACTCATGCTTATGTGGCAAGCCCTTTGCCAACTCCACTAACTCCTCAACCTTTATTGCCCCTCTTTTACCACTGATACATGTTTTATGGATATAAGTAAATCACCCAAGTTAGTATAGTTTCACTCCAGGGTTTTGGCTCGTACTTCCCATATTTGCCCTGGTTCTGAACCAAGTGCCATGAAGATGAAGATCAGGTGGCCATTTGTTCTTAAATGGTACTCCCCTAAAGTTGCTCTCATCATGATTTCCCTTTCAGACTACATCTGGAGAAGATGTCCGTGACTTCGCCAAGGTACTAAAAAACAAATTTCGAACCAAAAGGTATTTTGCGAAGCATCCCCGAATGGGCTACCTGCCAGTGCAGACTGTGTTAGAGGGGGACAACATGGAAACGTGAGTAGTGGTGGAAACAAAGAAGACTCATTTGATATATATTTGAACTCCTCCCAACCAAATACACTCCTTCACTCCTAGATGCAAACAGTCCCTTAAAGTTTCTCTCTCTTTCCATTTATTTTAGCTGAAAAAAATTACAAACAAGCTGATATTCAATTACATTTTGTCTTTTCAAAAGTCAAACTTGATATTTTAGGAAGAAAAAAATACTTTAATGCAAATGGCATTATAACATTTTTAAGAGATATGGGACTGCTTACAGATGAGTGATGACAATATTTCATTTTGAGTTTCTTCCTTCACAAATCAGTGGACATGTGTCTTTTTGTATCTAATTGTGTGGTCATGTCTAGTCACTCTTTCCACTTGAGAGAAACATCCAGTCACAGGAATTGCTTTCAACAGTAAGTAGAAATGAGTCTACTGGTCATTTGGATCATGTCTTTGCCTCATGTAAACTTTCTCCTTATATTTCCCTGTACTTTGATGACAGTCACACAGCTGTTTGTTTTGCTTTCCATTCACTTTTATTCAGTTTTATTTTGCTGTTGCTTTCCATGATGCATACATAATTTGGTTAGATTTTATTTGTTTCTTTTGAACTTTCAATAATTTCTGTTGTGGCTGAGTTTGCTTGTGTCTCTTTTCACCACCTCATTTTTTTGTTTTGCAGTCCCGTTACTCTGATCAACTTCTGGCCAGTAGATTCTGTGTGAGTACTTTTGCTAAGGATGCTGCTAACACAAACATTCACTTGCTTGATTTCTCTGTATATTTATTTGTTTATTTATTCATTTATTTTTCTCTGTTTTTGTTTAAAGACATTTTAATTTCCTATTTTTTCTTCTCACTAAGGCTGTGAGAGTGCCATAGCTTACAGAGACTCTGGGTAGGTAGGGCTACAGGGCTCTCTGCTAAATAAAGTTGTAGCCAGCAGAAATTCTGGCCTAAGTGCTAATAAAAATGAAAAGAATCCTGCACATTTTAGCTGCCTTCCTGGAAGACATATTTGTATTTCAGATATTTCTTCAAAATAGGCAAGAAAGAGCCTCCTGTTTGGATAATAGCATTTGGAAGTCGTGTTTCTTGAGAAATAATACATGGGACCCTTCAGAAGGGTGATGGTTTGTTCCTTAGAAGCAGTTACCGCTGGACAAGTAACAATCAGCACAGGCAATTTTAGCGGAAGACACTGAGTTTGGTTGATTAATTTCAGTGAAGTGTGTGAATGTTTTCAAAAATGAAGTTATGCCATGCTGTTTGAGAAATTTTTACAAATGTAGGATTCAGACTTTTGAAATAAATGCATTTTTATCTCCTCTCTAAAATACTCAGCTCATAAACAGTTATGCCTTTAAGCAAGGAGGGAGTATACTATAGTCTGTTACTCCTAATGGTGTTATGAATGCTACTAATATTATATAACACTACACAAATGATTTATTTCAGTTTATATTGTTAGAGAACTATTTTGGAGCTATGTATTGTAGTGGGCCCAACTAGTCCTGGCTGTGTAAGAGTTTGGGGCAGGAGAATTGCTTGAGTGAGCTCAGGGGTTTGAGACCAAATTAATCACCACAGTGAGACCTCTTTCAATAATAAAATCTATGAAATCTTTTACAGACCTTTGATGTATACATAAGCAAAAAGTATGCCTAAATAAAATCTATGTAGTGATTTCATAGTAGTTTTGATATTTTACAGTATGGTTTATCAAATTAAAGTTTGGTAGCTCTATCCTGTAACAAGGGGAAGTAAGTAATTTCAAAGTATGGCTTATGTAATAATTTAATTAATTTGAATTTTATAATATCTCACTGTATAATTTAATTGAATCTAAATGTTTTTTCAAAAGATATAGAGACAAATATAAGCTATTAATTGAGATATATTTTAGGTTTTTATTAGTAGACTTACTTCTTTTTCTTGTTTAATCCTACATTATTGTGCCAATTAATTTTGAGATACTATACTTGCAAATAGTTCATTGTCCCTTTTCTTTATTACTAAGGACAATGTATGAATTCAGTTATGATTTTGTGTGGTGGTAATTATTTTCCCCAACCTGGATATTCTGTCTGTATATGTTAGAAGCCTTCTAAACTAAGAAATTGTGGAACTTGATCTACTGAAGTCCTGGGATAGCCAAGTAGACAGATTTATTCTATTAGAGGAAGTTTAACCAGGGGAGTAACAGGAAACAGTTCCTTGAACAGAATGGAGAAGATACAATATTAAGTTAATGAGAAATTATCCCAGTCAGATTAAAATAACTTCCTTCAAATAGAGGGTGTTTGTCTTTCTTAAACCCTGAACACTTTCAAAATCAATGGCATTAAATATTAAAATAAATTTTAGTAACAACTAAAACATACTCATAGGTTGCCTTTTTATGAAAAATTGGCTAGATTATTAAAAAAGAGTGGAAGAAAACAAACCCAGCATGCTAGTCTGTATTTGCTTTAATACTGTAATTTTATTAGTTTTTACTCATACCTTTCTAATAAGACAGAAAAACTACTATAAAGCTGTCCTATTCAAGCAGAATAATTAGGTACTAACATGTTTTCTTTTGTAAACACTGAATTGATAGTAACATCTTATGATAATAGTGGTATTTCATCTATTTAATGTGGAGCACAGACTTGGAAAGCTTCCAGGGATACAGAGCTTTTGTTTTTTCTTAGACAAAACCTTTGTTTCCTTGTATCTGTCATAGTATTTTAAATTGAATCCAGCCCAGGCCTTTCATTTTGTTTATCCACATGCGAGTCTGGCTAGCAATGTTCTTAGAGCTCCTCTATTTTGAAATCTACATCAATGAGAATCTACTCATGGAAATTTTACATGCAAGCATACGATGGCATTTGCCAAATGGATTGTTAGGGATAATCAGAAATTATCCTAGTTTGTATATTGCTCTGTATTTACAAAGCAGGAAGCAGGAGCCATATTATTATCTTGCTATGAATGTGTTTTTGGAGGCTTTACACTCTACTCTGACCAGCACATTCTTTTGGCTTGATTTCTGGTTTAGCAAGTGCCTCTTATACTTTTTCAGATTACTAACTACTATAAGTTTGTGTATGTATGCATGCTGCACTAGGTGCTATGTACATTAATAGAAAAAAATGTGACATTATCCTTGAGGCTAAGAATTAAAACTCCATGTAAGACTTTTGTGTAAGATTGCATTAGTATGTTTGGATTTACATGCCCACTTCTCCTGGTGTAGTTTTGCTCCAAGATCTTGTGTTTGCTTTCTTTTTACTGTATACTACCACTGTAACAACTATTATAATGGAAAACAGTACTAACATATTTCCATAGATGGTAGGCTTTAGCTTATAATATATACATATATAATTGAAGGACTGCTTTATTTCAAAAGTAATACTTACGAGCCAAACAATTCAAGTATTAAATTGTCTTTATTTGCAGTGAAGATTTCAAAACAAAGCTTTCCAGTTTTCTAGTAATAAACTATTCCAAAGTTCTATAAAAATAGCTGATTATCTCTCCAAAAATATAATGAAATTTCACACGGGAAAGTTTGGATCTGACTATTAAGTTGAACATTGTCTCTTTTGTTTTCACATGAAAATGTAAACGTATTTTAAACTTGACCTAGACAATATTGGTCTCATATTTTCACATTTGACCTCCAGAATATAAGAACTTTATCTCTCAGGAAAGGTTTCCAGTGCCCTGGTCGTTTGTTTAATTGTATTGTAGTTATCTTACCACAACATTTCTTGTAGGAGAATAGAAATTTGCAGCACATTTTCTATGTAGCAGTAGGTATTCATATATATATATATATATATGAAAAAATCAAACATTTTCCTCTTCATGTTCAGATCAAATCTTTGAATGCTGTTTCAATATTAGGCTAAAGCATAGGACTCAAAGAGTATGTTATTGCTGGATTTTGAGTTCATACCTTTCTTTGCCTAAGTCCTTTCTGTGTCAGGAGGGAAATGGAAGAGACCTTTTATCATCTTCTAATAAATACAAAACACACAAGTACAAACTGGTTTTTGAAACTTTTTTTGGTAAGGTTAATCCAAAACATATAAAAATTTTCCAAAATAATGAATCAGATATGAAGTATGAAAAGAATTAACCCCACTGAAGTCCTAGCCTGTCTACTGAAGAAAGGTATGTCTGGATTTTGCTCCCTGCTCCATCTTTCCTCTTGATTTTCCCATCCAGATTTGTGAGTACACTAGCCTCAGTAAGAATCATTGTAGATCCCACTGAATTTAGTTATTCTTTTAAAAGAGGCATTTACATGAGCATGAGCCATTCTATTTTCCTATAATATACTATTATAATACTACTGTTAAATTGGTATATAGATTCCTTCTGTGGACGTTTTGATACACAGAATTTTAAGAAGTACTAGAATAGGGTAACTTCATTGGAACTAAAATCATTGACTGCAAATATACTAAGGAAACAGTTTCCATTCAACCCCAAACTGCTAATCAGTGTCATAGATATGTGTAAGCTGTTTCCAGTTTTAAACACTACATAGTACTAAGTCTCAGAATTCTAATATATGAAATTTATAAGCTAAGAGTGTGTAATGCTATATAGACCCCCCCATACCTTTTGTGAAACTGAAGTATTCTAGAAAGTTTTGCTTTCATCCTTATGCCTTGTAAGGAAAAGCAGAATTATCTCTCAAATCTCAAATTAAAATGCTTGATGCTGTCTTATATACAGAAGCACCTACATGTGCATTATCCATAGGCTTGAACAAAGGTCATTCTAAGCCATATATAGAACATGAGTTTGTGGTGGGGTCTTTTTATCCATTAATGGATGGTATCTATGACTAATCACATTTTCTGCCTTATAGGCCTGCCTCGTCCCCCCAGCTTTCACACGATGATACTCATTCACGCATTGAACATTATGCTAGCAGGTATGAGATTAGTTGAATCCCAGGCAAATATTGGTTGAAATAACTAACCAAGGAAAGCTAACCTATAATAATTTTAAACAAATATTTTCTTTCTTTCTTCCTTAATCCTTTCTGATTTCTACTAATCATCTTGACCTCTAACGTGCATGCCATTCTACTGCATGTAGGATTCAGATACCAACAACAGCATGGGTCCAAAACAATCTTATTTAACCCTGGCCTTTCAACATTTCTGGTAGCTTTGTTGCATTTTATAGTCTGTACACATTTGCTAAATTGGCTTGTAAGTCCTCTAACCTCTTAAAAAACTACTAGACTAGATATTAATCTGTGGAGCAATGATACCGTGTTACCTAAACAATGTGAAAGCACTGGCCTTTTATTTGTGTTTCATTTACTTGATGTACTTTAAGAAGATAACAACAACTTTCCTAACTCTTTCTGTACCACTTTCTTTGTATTTGAGATTACTTTTATTCCTAAACACTGAACAACTTTTCCTGGTTGTCAAAAGACTTTATTATTAATTTGGTGAGAGAACATATAAAACACTTACTGTGAATCCATCTTTTATCAGCATCCTGATAAAAGCTCTTCCGTTGTGGCAAGCATTAACTAGCTATATGCATCTATCATCAGTGAAAGGCATTAATTGTTTTAAAAGAAAAGGGGTAGTGTAAGGTGGGGATTTGCTCTCAGGAAAGATTTTCTTCTGAAAACAAAGACTGGTTCTCAGTGAAAGGAAGATTGACCTGGGGATAAAAAAAAATCCCAAACAAAACAGCAACAAAAATACAGCTTCCCATAGCTTTTACATTAAAAGGGCAAAGCTACTAACCAGCTGCTTCAACTGGTTAAAAACACACACATCCTTTAATTTGAAGGATTCCTTTTCTTTAGTTTTCAGGAATGTTCGCATAGGTCTTGAATAGATTCTAAGAAGTCACATAAGTTTTAATGAGCTTTTACGTTTTTTATCAGGCTAGCAGAAATGGAAAACAGCAATGGATCTTATCTAAATGATAGCATCTCTCCTAATGAGAGCATGTAAGTATCCCATCTCTTTTTACAAAATGTTCCTGACGATTAAATTGCTTGGAGGGATTCAGAGGTAGGATAGTATAGGATGTAGGAATTAGCATCATATTCATTTGATTTTTCAAAGAGCCATTCATTGACTTTTTTTCTTCAGTTATTAAAACCTGGCACAGAATGAGCTCATACAAATACAAGCATTAATTCAGAAAAGCAAAAAATTTACTTTACTTATATTTATTTAATATGATCACAAATTGCTGATTCCAAACACTTACAACAAAAACTAATTTTTGACCACACTGGAATAAGGAATACGATGACATTTGAAAATAACAACTAAGTAGGATTTCCTCCACTCACAGGAAGTGGAAATGTGATCTTGATATAGAATTGCTATTCCCATATACTAAGTTAGGTTGGCATTTTCTTCATTGGATTGTTGTGGTTTCACATCATATAGGAAAGCAGACTTGTGAAGTGTTCCCAGATGAGTGAAGACAAATGCAGGTCTCAGTTTGTCAGGGGGTGATAAGCCAGCTTGGTCAAACTTTAAGAAGGAAACATATATCTGTTACAAATGGTCAAGAACCCACTTGGCTCCAAAACAGGCATCATCAACAGGTTAGGGCAATGTTCATAGTGAAGAATACAGAGAAATATTGTTATGATCCAAGTAGATATTGATCAGGGAGTAAGAGAAATGGGGGGCATGGAGGAAATAGAGGATCCACAAACTGAACAAATAACATGGAGAGAAGAAATATAACCAAAGTGCATCTTGTCTTGGAGAATAGGCAAATGGAATCATGGTAAAGTTATCCTATGTAGTTTGTATGGGAACCCAGTGTCTTGGTCAGATGAGAAAGGGTCCTTCATAAGGATGAAGCCAAAGGAAATTTTATGGAAGTGGGATTTCTATATAATTTTTGAGTTCCATATCATCTAGTACATAGAGGTGACCAATGTAATAAGAGAGAATTCAAACCCAGTCATTATCATCTAGTACATAGAGGTGACCAATGTAATAAGAGAGAATTCAAACCCAGTCATTTACTTCAAACAAATACTCTTTTCCCAATTAAAACTGTGATGCCATTATATGGTCTTCCACTAGGAAAGTGAGTAGCTTAAGAACCATATCAATATAAAGGTTTAAATTATTTGCTTCTTTGGCTTCCTCATTTTTATATTAAAGATGCTCCACCACTTTCATACTGATTTAGATTGTATCCATATGACAGTCTCTTGCAGTCATAGAACTGCCAAAGACAAGAAGAAAATTTAACTACAATTATAGCTAACTGCTAAATGTGGGAAATTCTAGGAATAAAATTTTAAGAGGTTAGTAATAACTTAGATATTTGATAAAGTCATGATTATTTTATTTTACAACAAATTCAGCTTTAGCTCATTCTGAGGACATGCAATCCATATTCACTCTGTTGTTTAGCAAAATTTCATGTTATTTAGGAAGTTTTGATGAACCAACTGATTTCATTTAAATGTTCCTTTTTAGTGTCAATAGTAATCATAATATGCATTATCATTACTTTTGTGATGATAAGGATTGATCTCAGGGCTTTATGCATGCTAGGCAAGTCTGTGTGATGTATCCCAACCCTCCAACAATTAGTTAATCAATAACATCTCCACCACTTATCTGACTTCATGGATCAAAACTGTAAGCCATGAGAACCTTTTCCTAAAGACCTGATATTTAAAAACTGAGAACTAGGTGAATATGACATGCTGGGCATGAAGACACATGCCTGTAATCCTAGCAATCAGGAGGCCGAGACCAAAGGGTTGCAATTTTAAGGCCAGCCTGCGCTATACAGAAATTCCCTCTTGAAAAACAAAATTAAGTGGGTATGCAAAAGGTAATATACACACATCATCTTAATGATATGTGACTAGAAACAAAGAGGTTTAGTGTCTCATTAAAAAGAAAATGTAGCTCCTAGAACTTGCAGGTAAAATGGAGTTTTCAAAAACTTAGAGCACTTGTTCTTAAGGTAATTTCTCTTGAGTGTGATTAGAAAGTTCCTTCTTTTCAGGAGACTGCAACTGCCTCTCAGAAACATGCTATCCCCCCACCCCACAATAAAAATAATGCTTAAGATTCAGTCTGGGGAATGAGTTGTTCTTATCCTCTTTTAATCATTCACCATAATGTCTCCACCTCCCTCAATTTTTGTGCTTATATCTAAACAGTAATTAAAACAACCACTTATCCACAGGTTAATTGTTGTTATCATCCCACCTCTGAGACCTATAAGATAAAATTAGCTGGCTGAAGCAGCACATTCCAGTTTTTGCCTTCCACTGAAGGTATTTACTATTTTAAGAACTGTGTTTCCCTCCTCCCCATCCAGTTAGTGTCAGTGGCATGGTTAATGGACAGATAATCTTGATAGGCTTAGTAGCAAAAGCATTAAATGGCCATTTTTTTTAGTAATTATTAGTTAATAAAAGGCTAAACTTCATATAGTTGTTTCTGTAATTCGACCATTAATTTAACTGTGAAAATAAGCCAGTAAGCTTCACGTGGATTTTTGAAAAAGAAACACTTGAAAGTGTACCTCAATAGAGTGGTAGAGCAAGCACACCCTCGATAGTGCCTAAATATCTCTAGAATAGGGGACAAAATGTCTAATTGTTGAGAGCAAAGAAATGTTTCTATTTTCAAATCCACACCTGAGTCCCTGACCCCAAAACAAAATAAGGGGGGGTGGAAAAACCAAAACCTTTGATTTTATTTTCCAGAGATGATGAACATTTGTTAATCCAGCATTACTGCCAAAGTTTGAACCAGGACTCCCCCCTGAGCCAGCCTCGTAGTCCTGCCCAGATCTTGATTTCCTTAGAGAGTGAGGAAAGAGGGGAGCTAGAGAGAATCCTAGCAGATCTTGAGGAAGAAAACAGGTGAGTTTCTTTGTAGCTTTGTCATTGGTAAGCACAGTGCATACACTTGCACACAGAGAAAAGTGCCAGGGATCTTCACTTAGCCATTCGATGTCTAACTGTTTGCTAAAATAATCTGTTTAGCTCCTTTTGCAGATTCACTTCTTTTTGTCTGAAAGAAGAAAATGGGTACCATATATCATGATTAATAACTCCCAATTTAGGTGTGAAGGGATTAATGCTAATGGGGGAATCGGGTCTGTTGCATGTGCTCCATAGGTATTGCTATATTTGTATTTGAGAATAGAATTTACGAAAACAAAGGAAATAATTTAATCCGTGATGACATAAATTTTACATGTGTTTGGCCATATTACCATAAACATCTAAGGAAGTAGATTCATTGACTTTGTCATATTTGGGAACAGTATTTCCTCTTACTTTTCATCATCAAGTACAGAAGTTACTGCTTTTGCTCATCTTCATAGCAGATTAGGTAAACAATTCCAGGTTAGTCATTACCTTTTTTTTTTTTTTAAAAAAAAAAAAGTGCAATTGTTGAAAAAGAATTGTTGAAAGAGGAAAAGCTAAAAGACAATTCGTGATAACTAGAGCAGTTAAATTGCAAAAATTTGCAGTATTGTGTGGTGTCAGGATAATACAAATTACTGGCCTCTTTCTTTTGTTTTACATTTATGATGTCACAGGTACCTTGGTTAAGGGAACCTTTTCACATAATCCCCTGTAATCACAGTGTGGCCTTCTACTGACAGTGCTACCAAGCAAGTCTATAGAGGCCAGGCTGCTCAAATTTATAGCACTTAAGTGCTTTCATCTCTTTTCCTTAGCCCAAGGCAGCAAGACATCTTAATCTAGACAACATACAGTGTTTGAGAACCAGTGCCCTGAGAGAGAATGTCATCTCAGCATGAAAAAGCAGAATGTCATTCATCTAGTCCTTTCTGTTGCTACTACTAGCCTTTCAGCTATTAATACCCCTGACCTCTAGCCATAGCTCTTTATCAAGTTGGCTTCCCATGAGTTCCTTGCCTGTTTCCCCAATAAATCCTTTACACTGACTAGTTGTGTATCTTTCCAGAACCAAGACCTATCATGGCATTCTTATTTTATTGATTTCTGTATCTTGAATGAATGCTTCTCATTAGGGCATTCAAACCTTCCACTGCTTTCTCTTATTTTTGTCAACTTCACCTTCTTCTGTACTGACCATGCTGTTGTAGCCAGTATTTTTAATTTGTTTTCATCTACTTTCTGGGTCATGTTCAAGCTTGCCCTCAGCCTGTATTAATTTTTGACCAGAGAACTCCTTGACAGTTTTCCCTTTTATCCATCACTGTACCTCCTTCAAATGAGTCCTGGACACTCTGTGATCAACATATTGTTCCTAAGTAGTACCTACCACAGTGATAATATTTCACTAGTCTCAAAGTGTTTGGTGAAACCATATATATATATATATATATATATATATATATATATATATATATGCTTATAGGATATAAACATAAGAATATAGCAATGTGATAACATGACCACCTGTAATGATGTAATATTTTAAATGTGTGGTGAGAATATTAACAAATATTTTATTTTGTTAGCTGTATTTGTAAAAGTAGAAATGCAAACCAAGATACCCCTTCTTTTATTTTATTGGGAACAGTCACTAATAATAATTAGTAATAATAACTAGTAGTCATTCATATAAATCTTTCTAAAACTCAAAAAAGGAAGAAAAGATTGTGATTTTCCCCATAAATACAGTTTGATGTTGCTGAAGAGTAAGTACATTTTCTAGTTTAATACATCTTTTAGCTCATTAGTCAGGAACCATATATTGCAGGTGGTTTCACATGCTCCCTCCATGACATGGTAATTAGGTCAATGAGTGTTGGGAAAGAATAGTGATTACCCTCATTTATGTGTCATTTTATCATTTTCAGAGCACTGTTTCTGGTATTGGGAACTAAAACTATGACCTCATGCATGCTAAGAACCAACTGTACCACTGAGAAACACTACCAGTTCCTCACATTGAAAGCACTTTAATATATTTTAGATCATTTCATCTTTCCAAGAGCTGAACAAAGATGTATGCATCTGCTTTCTTTAGATGAGAAAGCACAGGCTGAGAGAGGTTCAAATAGCTTGCCCCAGATTTCACAGCCAGCCAGTGGTAGACGTAAATTTATATCAGGTTTATTTTTTCACACTGAAAATAGCCAACTGTACCTTGGTTCAGAGAATAGTCATTCTATGTAAATGTCATCTACATAGAAATAGGGTTTATTCCCCAGAATATGCCCTACCTTGAGAAAGTTTGCAAAGAACAAATGTCCTTGAATAAACTAGTTCAACCACTTTACCCTGAAATATATCCACTATTGTCACTGAAAATGGGGTGGTTTGTTCTCTGAAAGAAAGATTATATAGCAGTGCTACTTAGTGCTCCAAAATGAGGCCTTTGCCATTATGTGAGTCTTTCTGGAGGTTATCTTGAAAAGGTCAGAATGAGCCTTTTCTTTTCTTCTTCTACTTAGTCCTATTTTCACCTCCCACTGAAATCCCAAGGAATTGTCTTTCCAGAGCTTCCTCTTGGGAACAGCCTGCCTCATTTTCTCTGTCCTATCCTCTGCTGTCTTCTTGGCATTTTTATGAAAGAGATTCAGGACCATTCTGTGTCTATGACCCTTGAATTCAGTGTTTCTTTAAAAGCCTTTAATTTGTCATTTCACTCCCTAAGAACGCCTAGGAAATCGCTAGATGCTCTTTTTCTGTGCATACCTGGATAGTTCCCAAGTCAGAAAGTAGACTGCAAAAATGACAAATAAAAGCCTACTTGTAGAGAAAATGTGGAAGGAGATTTCAAACTAGGATTGTACTCAAGGCTTTGCATGTAGACTTTTAGTATAGCTAAATATCCATGTATATTTAGTGTTTGTTTAGTATATGTAAACATCAAATATCTGTCGATTTTTGGTGTCCATATTCTTCAAAACTGAATTATGTTCAAATTGCAGTTAGCAAAAGAGAGTTGCCTGAGGATTCTAATTCCTGATTAGATATGTTATTAATTCTATTAATTATTCTTATTCACAACTTTCCTGGTCCAATGCCCTGGAAAAATACAAAGCAACTATTGTAGACATATCTTTGGAATATCTTATCTGTGCTTCTAGAGTTCCTTTTCTCCTATTCCTTATACATAGCACTCAGTAAATATTTGTTGAATAATTTAATGAATAAGTGAATTGAACTAGAGCTGAATCTATTTTGGTTTTAACACATGCATGTAGTTTTGAAAACAATATTTTATAAACTTTCATAGAGGAACACCTTAATTGAGTTATTTCTGATAACTTTTGCAACATACTTCCTTCTGGCAAGCATGGCTTTGTCATAAACTTAGACTTTTTTTAAAAATCTCTTTTTCTAAATCCTAGACTCTGGGTGAATCATTGGCACCCTCTGATTATTATTTATTCCATAAAGATAAAAGTAAAGCTAAATATGTTTCTGGATTTTTTGACAGTGTCTCTCAAAGTTTGGGCCAGTGGTAGCATTAGTTAGCTTAGCCTGTCATTCACGTTTAATTTCTATACCATGTCTACCACTTGTTACCACTGATAATTGGGCTTTTTCTTTATTTGGCAGAAGCCAGTTGGGTATTTGTTGCATCCTATGTCCTTAGCACTGTGATCTCAAGGCTTACCTTTCTCCAGTTTACATTAAAACCTGTAGTCTCCTGACTTTAATCTACACTTGCCAAATTACTGTCTGAATAGTGAATTTGTTAGGTTGTTCCCAAATCTAAAATTAAGGCAAATATGAATCGGATTAGACCATTAGAATTATTTCATATTCTGTGACAACCTTAGAGTCAGTAAATAGTAGCCAGGTGTGGTGGCATACACCTTTAATCTCAACACTTAGGATGCAGAGGCACATAGATGTCTATGAGTTTGAGGCCAGCCTGGTGTATATAGTGAGTTGTATAGTGACTTTTAGACCAGCCAGGCCTACACAGTGAAATCCTATCTCAAAACAAAACAAAGAAAGGGAGGCAATGAGGCTGTCTGATGTGCAAGAGAGAAAAATATGGTGTCACACTGAAGCATTTAGGCCTCCTTACCTAGAATAGTGTGCTGGTTGATGTCTGGAAACTTGACACAAACCTAGATGTATCTGAGAAGAGGGAATCTAAATTAAGATAATGCCCCTGTGGGATTGGCTTGTAGGTAAGTCTGACATAATTCCTTGATTAATGATTGATTTGGGAGTGTCAAGCTCACTGTGGGTGGTGCCACACCCTAGTGTTGGTGGTCTTGGATACTATAAGAAAGCAGGATGAGCAAGCCATGGAAAACAAACCAGTAAGCAATGTTCCTCCATGGCCTCTGCCTTACTTCCTGACTACCGGCTCCTGCTGCATTTGAGTTCCTGTTAACTTCCTTATATGATATACTGTAATGTTAAAGTATAAATGAAATAAACCCTTTGTCAATTTGCTTTTAGTTTTGGAGATTTATCCCAGCAATAACACCCTAAGGAAAATAGGGAACCATCCCAGGCTCTCAGCTAGGATGGAGATCCTTAGATTTACACTTAGGTCCATGTCATTTGTGTATGTGAAGGTTTTGTGTATGCATGGAGATTCATATAGCTTTGTGGTGGGTGAATTCAAAAGAAACATGAGGAACTAGGAAAGCACATTTTTAGTACACAAAGGAATTCATGCAAGAGGTGGTTCATGACTTAAGTAAGTAGTACAAATAGGGAGACAGGTTCAGTTTCAGAGATATTTCCAGGAACAGGTAAAGATAATATATCAGATGGATGGAGAGACCTCATTGACTTGGTAGTTCTACAGCTCTGGGGAAATACAGGAAGGATTCCAAATTCTGGCAGGGGCATAGCCAAAACATAGAATTTTTGCATTCGGGATTGAAAGTTCAAGGATATCCCATACTTGAATTCTCAGTGGAATTTGTGTAAGTCCTTCC